GTGTAGGTGTGTGTGTGTGTAGGTGTGTGTGTGTAGGTGTGTGTGTGTAGGTGTGTGTGTGTAGGTGTGTGTGTAGGTGTGGTGTGTGTAGGTGTGTGTGTAGGTGTGTGTGTGTAGGTGTGTGTGTGTGTGTGTGTGTGTGTGTGTGTGTGTGTGTGTGTGTGTGTGTGTTGTGTGGTGTGTGTGTGTTTTGGTGTTGTGTGTGTGTGTGTGTGTTGGTGTTTGTGTGTTGGTGTTTGTGTGTAGGTGTGTGTGTGTGTGTGTGTGTAGGTGTGTGTGTGTGTGTGTAGATGTGTGTGTAGGTGTGTGTGGGCAGGTGTGTTTGTATGTAGGTGTGTTTGTATGTATGTTTGTATGTATGCATGTAAGTGTAAAACGAAAGCGTGTAATTGCTTTACATGATGGTAGGTTTCCTGGTGTCTTTTTTTCTGTCTCATAAACATGCAAGGCTTCACGTAAGAGGCGACTAAAATGCTGGGACAAGAGGCTAGTAACCCCTTCTCTTGTATATATTACTAAAGTTAAAAATAGAAACTTTTGTTTTCTTTTTGGGCCACTGTGCCTTGGTGGGATACGGCCAGTTTGTTGAAAGAAGATATATATGACACATGGGAGCAAGGAGCTAGTAACCCTTTCTATATAAATTGCTAAATTTAAAGAGAAAAACTTTAGTTTTTCTTTTTAGGTCACCCTGCCTCGGTGGGATATGGCAGGTACATTAAAAAATATATATATATATATATATATATATATGACACAACAAATATACAGTAAACTATTAATGGAAAAACCTTAATCTTTATCAATATATAGTATATTTACATTCAGGTTCCTGAATGGATGTATCACATGACTAACTCACTGTATTGTAATGAGGCTATTGTGGCAACATTCTAATACTCATTGTATGAGTCATCCTCTAGCTTAATTAAACTTCAAAAGTCAACTTATATATTGCAATTTATAGGAGGCATATTTATGAATCAAGCATGAAATCTACAAAAAAAAAAAAACTCTAATTATAATATATAATATGTATATGGCATCTTCCATTAAAACACTGATATGTAATACTAACATTAAGAAATATTTTTTGTTCCACTCCTTACAGAGTATTTAACATGTGACTGGGACAAATAAAGAAATATTCCATGAACCTTCCATGTTACTCATGGAAGCACAGACTTGAGAAAACACTGAGAAGTGTATAGTTGTATGTATATACACTGAAAGTTGCATATCTGTGTATATACACTGAAAGGTGCATATCTGTGTATATACACTGAGGTGCATATCTGTGTATATACACGAGAGGTGCATATCTCTGTATATACACTGAGAGGTGTGTATCTCTATGTACATACATCCAAGAGGTGTATGTATCTGTATGCATAAACCAGTATTATTTTTTGTATTCACATTTACGGAGCAGCTCACTTGCTGTTTTGGCACACTTTCTTACAATCCATTCAGTACTTTAAAAATTGTTTCCTACCTCTCAAGTATTACATTTCATTCTTTTGTGTAAAACATAATTAATTATTCTAAATTTCCTTTGAAAGTCACATTTCTCGCATTCTACAATAAAGCGGCAAATGTCATTCTTTATTTTAATACTAAACCAAGAGATTTTCCATGAGTGTTTCAAATGTTGCTTCCAAGATTCAAAACTTACCGATGTGAAGGTGAATGGACGGCAAGAACAACTAGATAAACTCATACTACATTGCTCTAAATATTGACCACTCGAAATATATAAAGAGCAATTAATTTCTTAAAATAAATAATTTACATTATAATAATTTCTTAAGTGTTGTTACACCAAAAATTCCTGCAAATTACTTTTCATAATTTGACAGGATTTTTGAAGAGACTTGAGTATGTTAATTTGTACTTTACTAATAAAATAGATAATCTTAGGGAAGTGGCCAAGGAAGGTGGGAAAAATCCACTGGACCACCTAGTCCAGCATCAGCTTCCAGAAGGCTCATAATGACTGCCATTGCTGCTTCATCCGAGTCACTAGTTCCATCAATTTCCAAGTCCCGCCCGCTCACCACATCCATTAGGTCACCTTCATTAGATACTGGAAATAAATTTATTCAACATGTCAGCCTCACATATTTTAAATTATATTTACCTATCCATAGGTCACTTTATTCATACCTCTAGGCATCACAGCTGGTTAACATGCCTTACTAAATGTTGGGAAGTTCCCTTGGTACAAATTATCCTTAAACAGTTCTTCTACCTAAGCTCTGCTTACAAACACCTATTATAAACTTTACATTCATACTAAACCTGCACAAGTTTTTAAGCTTTATATTCATCCTTTAAGTCTGACATTACATACTTGTCTCACTCTAATAAAATTATGCAATTTCATTCTTTATTTTCCAATTCCTCCCTTTTCAATTTATATTCCTGGTTTCTTAACACAAAAAATCAAACAATGCTGCACTCTATAATACACAATATATCATCTGACTAACCTCCACATAGCACTTCACAGATTTTGAGACATATAAAATACTTACTATGGATTATCTCTAGAAAATGACTCAATCTTCTCTACCCTACCATTTTCTTTCTTCTCTACTCTATTATTTTCTTGCTAAGCTAAAATACATTCATTCCCTAATTTTCCCTACTTACATGATATTAAAGTAAGACTAAACTAAAAAATTTAGATTTATACCAGGCTGTCTGTGGTTGTTGTTATGATTGAATGAGCCTCCTCGCTCACTGCTGTTTGTCAGATTACCATGCATGTTAGACAGGCGGTGATGGTTATTACTGAGCTGTGTACCCCGGCTGGTGTCACTCCCGGAGCATGTGCTGGTATTGCTGCTTAACAGCACATTGTTCTTCACATTGGTCTGGAAGTAGTAATACAATTACAGAAAACTCTCGATATGTTGGACTTTTAAAATTATGGGCAAAAACCCCTAATTCAGTTGCATTTTTAACTGCTTTATTTTCAATGTTTATTGCAATATGCCTGTAAATTGTGAACACAGTACTTAAAATAGGCATACAATAAAGTACTTCAGAGCTTTTTGGGGGGCATTTTTTAACATTATTCTGATTAACAGTTGACCATTAGATAACATGGGAGTTATGTTCCTGAAAATAGCATGTAAGAAAAATGTGTATAAACTAAACTGAAGAACATATGGGAAAGATTAGATTACATTCATTAAACTCTCCAGAAAAAGCCAACCAAAGTTTTTTCTGGTCCCAAAATTATAAGAAAAACACTGTAGGTCAATGTGCTATGTGCATTAGTCAAGGATCCCACAACCACATCTATGCAATCCAAGGTCCCTTATAGTACAGATGCCCCTTTTGCTGTAAATGTACGTGGGTGACAAGGGAGGGGTTAAAGCGGTAGGGGTGTACAAAGGAGGGTTAAGTGGTTGGAGTGTACACAGGAGGGGTTAGGCAAGAGGGGTTTGAGTAGTTAGGGTTAGGGAGTTCAGAGTGGGTGTTAGGAGACTAGGGGTGGGAATAGGGAAAACTGCTGTGGGAGGTGGAGACTGAACAATGGTGGGAGCAAGAGCTGAAATCTGGTGTTGAGAGGAGAGGATGTGTGTGGTGGAGGGGTGTGGTGGGTGGAGGCTGGCAGCAATGAGGAAGTGATGGTGATCACATAGGGGGCAGTATCTGTGGCCTGATGTGGGTGGTGCTGGTGTGGGTGTTGCATGACTGGGTGGGTGAGTGTGTGGTCGTTGGTGTGTGCAGTAATGAGGGTGGTAGGTGGCTAGGTGTGTGGATGACATGTTAGGGTGTGTGGGCTGTGAAAGCATGGGTAAGATGTGGATGTGGGACTGTGGATGTGGGGCTGTGGGAATGGGGCTGTGTGGGCTTGAAGCTGTGGTTGTTGGTGGTCTGGTGTGGATGATGGGTGAATGGGTGGGTGAGTGTGCAGCTGATGGTGTAGGTGGTAAATGAGGGTGGTAGGTGGTATGTGGACGGTATGTTAGGGTAAAAGGCTGAGTAAGGTGTGTGTATTAAGTCATGGGAAAATGGTATGGGTGAAGGCATGGGGCTGGCCAAGGTGTGGTCTTGAGGTAGTGGGGGAATGTGGCTGTGGTGGAACTGTGTGTAGCTGTGTGGTCATGGGAGAATTGTATGGGTGGACTGTGTGGGTGAAGGTTGCTGGTTGGGATGGTGAAGGTGTTTGGCCATGGGGGTTATAGGGGGTGGGTGGTATCAATGAAGTTGCTGGGTGTGCAGTGAGGGTGTGGCCATGGGAGTAGAGGTTGTGGCACAAGGTATGGTATTGGCACTGGACACATATGAAAGGAGCATGAGTTATTAGAAGCAGATGAATGGAGCACTGTGCCTCACTGCAAGATGGAGGGAAAAGAACTTGGCACCCTAACCTTCATCCAATACCTTCACCCACCACACCCACAAACCCACATTTGCTATGTCCAATATCCCTTTTCCAATTTTGAAACTTGTCCATCTGTCTACCTATACATTCTAGCCCTAATCCACCTTCACTCATCATTTCACCCATATACCCTCACCACCTTCACCCATCCCCTTCACCCACATACCCTCAACCTCCTCCCCATATGCCAGACCAAGGAATTGACTTTGGACTGACACCTTTACCCATACCTCCCACCACATAGTGAAAGCATGCATACACCCCACCCACATATGCTCAACCTTGTAGCGATCCCCTCAACCACACATTCATTGCCTCCTCCACACTGCCACCTGCCACAACACCAACATTCCCCTTCCATGTTGATACTGTGGGTGTTGGGTGGCAAGTGACTGACAGTCTCTGCTGTGTGAACTCATTATACTGTATGTTCACCAAATTGTAATTACAATTTTGCAACCGTGTTATAGCAACAACATGTTAACAGAATGCATGTTATCCACAAAAGTATGGGTCAAAATTATTTGACAGGGCAGGATATGATATACATAATCTAATAAAAACATAAGATGAATTATAAAATATTGATCAAGACTAGATATGGCTTCATCTCATAAGGAAAATGAGGAAAGTAACCCTAATCATTACTGTACTGCTGTCCATACAAATTCACAAGGAATAATGTATACACAGGTCCTGCAAATTAGAAACCATGAATAATACCAAATTACATGTGAGTAAAACACATGTACAACAGTATGGCATCTTTACTGATAAGATGTTTCACCTGCTGAGCAGGCTTCTTCAGCTGAAATAAGGAAGAAACAACAGAAGTAGTGGAGATGTAGATATGAGTTTATTAATTCTTCAGCCTTGAAGAAGACATTATTTGAGGTGGTAAGTCCCTTAGCCTTAGTGTGTGCTCAGCTCCATCACTCCAATCAATGTGAATGAAGCTACGGAGCTGAACATGCACCAAAGCTAAGGGACTGGCCATCTTAAACTTACTTCTTCTACAAGGCTGCAGAACTGATTACTTCATACTCACATCTTCACTACTTCTATTGTCTTCTCTGTATTTTGACTGAAGAAACCTGCTGAACACACGAAATATCTCATCGCACATGTGCTTTATTCATCTACTTGTCAGTACTGTACACCATTAATATAATAATAATACCAAATTAAAACTGCAAATACATTTTCTTTAGAGATGAGATCATTTTGTGTTTCAGAGATAACATTTTTCTAACATATCTCAAGTCTGTTTACTAAATTTAAAAGGAAAATCTTTCGTTTCTCTTTTAGGTTACCCTGCCTCAGTGGGATACGACCAGTTCATTGAAAAAAAAAAATCTAGTCTGTTTAATATGAAATTCATAAGAAATAATGACCAGAATCTCAAAGATTTAGGTGTGGGAAAGTCATTACGTTTCAGTATAAGTTAGTGAGGGGATGATACCAAAATTTTTGCCAATACCAGCAAAATTAGCTAATACTGATACTTAATTTTAGGTCAATACCAATACCAGAAAAATCTGCTGATACCCACTGATACTTTAGCACACCCCTAGTAAAAATGATGGCTAACTGAAATCCATGAATACGGAAGCCCAAAAGTTTTTTGGGACAACTGTACATTACTTGACACAAATTTATTATATTTTTGTCAAAATATATACTTGTCTGCAAGGGGGGTGTCTCCTTCTAAGCCCACAACTGTGCTACATACATAAGAGAATTGTGTAGCAAATGAACTTTTGTTAATGGTTCTGGGGATCATTGCCCCCATGGCTCAATATTGGACTGGGACTCCTTGGTTGGATTAACTAGTGCATGAATTCAACTTACCCTGTGTGCTGTCATATCAGATCTAAGAAGTGCCGCAAAAGATCGGTCAGATGCCCCTGATCCCAAAATCCCTTCAAAGGGAGACACTGGGCTATTGGAAGCCGAATCATTTCTCCGGTGTTTTTCTAAAACCTCTTCAGCAACCTGCTGACCAATTTTACCCGCCTGAATGCCACCACCAATCAAGCGACTGTTGCTATTGGACGATCCAGTGCCACCTAGTGGTGATGTATCTTGATTATGATTGGCATCTGGTAAACATGAAATTATAGAAAATAAAGCAGTCAGGTTACCTAAGCTATACATGAAGTTTTGTATTGTATGTTGCATTGTTATTTGAGATACTTCATATTAATGAGCTATAAAATATAAACTTTTCCTTTCAAAAAATAAGTAGGAAAAATAGATACAAATACTATTTTTTTTAACTTACACAATATATTTACACAAAACCAAAAAAAAAAAAAAAATCAGCTAAATTAGTCTAACTTGTTAAAAATGTATTTAATGGTTCATCTACCTGGAGGTACACTCAAATGAGTGATCTGTAGCTTAAAAAGTTACTAACAAATGTGGCTGATAAATTCAGTGTATGAAAGACTTTTCACATAAATTTTTATTACAATCAGTGATAGTCTGAGTTGTTTTATATATACGTATATATTTTTTTTTTTAAAAAGTCCATCGTCTCCCAATGAGGCAGGGTGACCCAAAAAGAAAGAAAATCCCCAAAAAGAAAATACTTTCATCATCATTCAACTCTTTCACCTCACTCACACATAATCACTGTTTTTGCAGAGGTGCTCAGAACACAACAGCTTAGAAGCATATATGTATAAAGATACACAACATATCCCTCCAAACTGTCAATATCCCGAACCCCTCCTTTAGGGTGCAGGTATTGCATTCCCATTTCCAGGACTTGAGTCCGGCTATATAAAAATAACTGGTTTCCCTGATTCCCTTCACTAAATATTACTCTGCTCACACTCCAACAGATCGTCAGGTCCCAAATACCATTCGTCTCCATTCACTCTTATCGAACACGCTCACGCACGCCTGCTGGAAGTCCAAGCCCCTCACCCGCAAAACCTCCCTTACCCCTTCCTTCCAACCTTTTCGAGGACGACCCCTACCCTGCCTTCATTCCCCTACAGATTTAAATGCTCTCCATTCTCTCTAAATGACCAAACCACCTCAACAACCCCTCTTCAGCCCTCTGACTAATACTTTTATTAACTCCACACCTTCTCCTAATTTCCATACTCCGAATTTTCTGCATAATATTTACACCACACATTGCCCTTAGACAGGACATCTCCACTGCCTCCAACTGCCTCCTCGCTGCTGCATTCACAACCCAAGCTTCACACCCACATAAGAGTGTTGGTACTACTATACTTTCACACATTCCCTTCGTTGCCTCCATAGATAATGTTTTTTGTCTCCACATATACCTCAATGCACCACTCACCTTTTTTCTCTCATCAATTCTATGAGTAACCTCATCCTTCATAAATCCATCCGCCAACACGTCAACTCCCAAGTATCTGAAAACATTCACTTCGTCCATACTCCTCCTCCCCAATTTGATATCCAATTTTTCTTTATCTAAATCATTTGATACCCTCATCACCTTACTCTTTTCTATGTTCACTTTCAGTAATGGGAAAACTGTTGGCAAAAGATTTTAAAAATTGCTATTATTAGTCAGTACACTGGGGAAATTACAGGATAAATTACATAAGGATCACATTTAGCTTAGATTGTCAAAGGTTAGCTATACTGATGTGGTACCACAAGCAATGCTGCAGGTGCTATATCAAGCTATGATGCTGATGCTGCATCAAGCTATGTTGTTAGTGCTGCATCAAGCTATGATGCTGATGCTGCATCAAGCTACATTGCTGACGTTGCATCAAGCTACACTGCTGATGCTGCGTCAAGCTACGTTGCTGATGCTACATCAAGCTATGTTGCTGATGCTGCATCAAGCTATGTTGCTGGTGCTGCATCAAGCTATGTTGTTGGTACTGCATCAAGCTATATTGCTGGTGCTGCATCAAGCTATGGTGCTGGTGCTGCATCAAGCTATGGTGCTGGTGCTACATCAAGCTATGGTGCTGGTGCTGCATCAAGCTATGTTGTTGGTACTGCATCAAGCTATATTGCTGGTGCTGCATCAAGCTATGGTGCTGGTGCTGCATCAAGCTATGGTGCTGGTGCTACATCAAGCTATGGTGCTAATGCTACATCAGTGAAGCAGCCTTACAACAACCTTGTCTATTCCTTCAATTATCCAGGTTCTCATTAAGAGGATAAAGAGCTTAGATAACCAGCTCTCCAAGTAGATCTTAATCACACACATACAATAATGAAATGACACCTTGGATGTGTTGCTGTTTGATGGCATCACAGTTCACTTACTCGAGTATCTCAATCCTGACTTCGTGGACCCCAAAAATTCTAATATACAATAAACAATGAAACTATATTAAGCTTCAAGGTGTGGTTATAACTTCTTTGTACTGTATGAAGATGATATATCTATATAACTTTCCTTCACCTCACTAAAGTCATCTACTCTACATACAAGCCCTCTTTCTGTTCTTAAGTCACGGCTATGGATGATCCTTAAATCGAAAGCTGAACATGAATGAACATAATTCATTACAATTACCCGGTGAGTTCAGCAATTCACTGAAGTTGCTATATGACTGTGAAACTGAGTCATTTGCCATGGTGCTTTCAACCAACCCAGCTTCTGATCTGTAAAGAGAGATGTTCCAGCTAATATAATGTGAGAACCATTTATAATAAAACAGAACTCCTTCAACATAAATACATTTCATGTTTTTACTTATTATGCTTATTTACTCTCCTTACATGCAAGCTTTACAATGAAAAAAAAAAAGCAGTCTAAATTTCTCATTACATCACATCCCTCTACAAATCAGACAGACACTTTTAACTAGTTTAGTGTTAAAACATTTTCACGGTTCTGCCTGAGGCTCCGAGGCTTAAACAGCCATCACAACCTATGACTGGGCACATCCTACAGGATCTTTTATAGTGTCTGGCCAGGGGCCAGGCTGTGGAAGTAGGAAAATTCTCAAAATCTTTCAAAGGTGTTTCTTGAAGACATCTACCTTTGTTCTGGCAATATATACTTCTAATATAGTATTTCCTAGTAGATAAGTTAAGAATCTTGGGTACCTACACGTGTGCTCTTGACTTTTCACCTTCCACATCTTTCATTTCAATAATTTGTTAGTGTGAAGATTAGGGACCCCAAAAGATATACTTTAAAAGTGTTTTGGGGCAGCTTTAGGAGTTAAAAGATGTAATAACTTCAATACAAGCAGTAAAAGATTTCTGTATATTTTGTAGCTCAAATATCTTACCTGCCTAGAAAGATGTGAGCATAGACCATTATGAGTGTTCCATTTTTTGCTGAAGATGTGTTCCAGGCATCTGTACTAAGCTCAATCAGGTCATAATACTTAATTATTATTATTATTATTTTTTATTTTTTTTTTTTTTTTTTTTATTATCACACCGGCCGATTCCCACCAAGGCAGGGTGGCCCGAAAAAGAAAAACTTTCACCATCATTCACTCCATCACTGTCTTGCCAGAAGGGTGCTTTACACTACAGTTTTTAAACTGCAACATTAACACCCCTCCTTCAGAGTGCAGGCACTGTACTTCCCATCTCCAGGACTCAAGTCCGGTATGCCGGTTTCCCTGAATCCCTTCATAAATGTTACTTTGCTCACACTCCAACAGCACGTCAAGTATTAAAAACCATTTGTCTCCATTCACTCCTATCAAACACGCTCACGCATGCCTGCTGGAAGTCCAAGCCCCTCGCACACAAAACCTCCTTTACCCCCCTCCCTCCAACCCTTCCTAGGCCGACCCCTACCCCGCCTTCCTTCCACTACAGACTGATACACTCTTGAAGTCATTCTGTTTCGCTCCATTCTCTCTACATGTCCGAACCACCTCAACAACCCTTCCTCAGCCCTCTGGACAACAGTTTTGGTAATCCCGCACCTCCTCCTAATTTCCAAACTACGAATTCTCTGCATTATATTCACACCACACATTGCCCTCAGACATGACATCTCCACTGCCTCCAGCCTTCTCCTCGCTGCAACATTCATCACCCACGCTTCACACCCATATAAGAGCGTGGTAAAACTATACTCTCATACATTCCCCTCTTTGCCTCCAAGGACAAAGTTCTTTGTCTCCACAGACTCCTAAGTGCACCACTCACTCTTTTTCCCTCATCAATTCTATGATTCACCTCATCTTTCATAGACCCATCCGCTGACACGTCCACTCCCAAATATCTGAATACGTTCACCTCCTCCATACTCTCTCCCTCCAATCTGATATTCAATCTTTCATCACCTAATCTTTTTGTTTATCCTCATAACCTTACTCTTTCCTGTATTCACCTTTAATTTTCTTCTTTTGCACACCCTACCAAATTCATCCACCAATCTCTGCAACTTCTCTTCAGAATCTCCAAGAGCACAGTGTCATCAGCAAAGAGCAGCTGTGACAACTCCCACTTTGTGTGTGATTCTTTATCTTTTAACTCCACGCCTCTTGCCAAGACCCTCGCATTTACTTCTCTTACAACCCCATCTATAAATATATTAAACAACCACGGTGACATCACACATCCTTGTCTAAGGCCTACTTTTACTGGGAAAAAAATTTCCCTCTTTCCTACATACTCTAACTTGAGCCTCACTATCCTCGTAAAAACTCTTCACTGCTTTCAGTAACCTACCTCCTACACCATACACTTGCAACATCTGCCACATTGCCCCCTATCCACCCTGTCATACGCCTTTTCCAAATCCATAAATGCCACAAAGACCTCTTTAGCCTTATCTAAATACTGTTCACTTATATGTTTCACTGTAAACACCTGGTCCACACACCCCCTACCTTTCCTAAAGCCTCCTTGTTCATCTGCTATCCTTTTCTCCGTCTTACTCTTAATTCTTTCAATTATAACTCTACCATACACTTTACCAGGTACACTCAACAGACTTATCCCCCTATAATTTTTGCACTCTCTTTTATCCCCTTTGCCTTTATACAAAGGAACTATGCATGCTCTCTGCCAATCCCTAGGTACCTTACCCTCTTCCATACATTTATTAAATAATTGCACCAACCACTCCAAAACTATATCCCCACCTGCATAATAAAAATCTTCATTACACTTTGCGAAGTGTGTAGATTGCATACAGCGACTGAAATTGCACATACAGAATTACTAACAGGAATAGGACATTGCATAATAGCAAATTCACATAAAGCAAGAGGAAACCTGTACCGTAGAAGAACAGAAATGTCTTGAAGGTTACCATCAATGGCATGGCATCTCTGAACATTGTCATAACCTAATAATTATTTTAATGGCAGTTGTTTGATTGTTGTGTTCTCTAAACAATAAGTCTTCTGACATTATTCATAAATTTTTACCAGTTACTTCCATTTTGAAAAACTGCGACTGATTGTTGCATCCGGTAACTCATATTCCACAATATTAGGCATTCAAAAGAACACCTAATATTCTTCAAGCATTAAAAATGTATTAATATTGAAATAATGAAATCAAGTGCAAGTTTATAATTAACACTGTGCTACTACATATTTTTTGGTAGGCCTACCTATTTTATAATTCAAAGTAGGTACATAAAAATATCATGTCATAGAGGGTGTATGCTGCCAACATTTCCACTTTCTTCTCTCATATCTTCACTTTTATTGATTTTCTTTCACCATTGCTAAGGAGAGCATTATATGTATCATCATTTGCTGTATCATGCCAGCCTAATAAGAATCATCCAATTACCAGTAGGTATATTTCTATACCCTTGGAAGGTTAGCATGAGCCTCGCTGTAACCACAATGTAGATTTTTATAGACAAAGGCATTTCAGATTATAACATGGGTATTAATGGGAAAATAAAATTCTTATTCCTAACACTCGAGTTACGAATGATTTCCAGAAGCACATCTCATTTGTAAATTTCGGTCCTACTGTGTTTATAAAACATGCCAGAACAAAACAGTTATGCCACAATATAACAAGAATCATCATCAGTGTTTGAAAACTAGTTTGTGATACTTACGTAACAACGCTGTTTTTTGATATGATGTATTCAATCTCTTTGGTCCAAGGATTTTTGAATGTCCACCAATTGCTCTGTAGTCGTACAAAGTAACCTTCTTTTGTGCGAAACCTGTAGACCTGAATAAGATATACAATCAATGCTCAATGTATACTGTTATTCTGCATATCCTAGACCAGTGTTGCAAGAACTTGTCGCTAGATATTAATGAATGCAAAACAAGGTATGCAGTATACAGCTTATGAACTGAGTCAAGTTAATGGAAGAGCTTCAGTATTACAAATCAGAAATAGTTTAATTTTTGGCATGACATCAAGGACTGCAATCATGTTATTTAACCCTTAAACTGTCCAAACAGAGCTACGTTCATGTGCATAGAGCTCCGATCGTAGATCTATGTTTTATTTTACATGCTTTCAACCTTGGCACCATAAGCCTGAGTTGCCTAAACATGAGAGAATGAGTCTGTGCATTCAGTGTGCACAGTATGACAAAATTCAGGGATGCTGGGTAAAATTCTCTCTTCATTTAAAAAAAGAAAAAAAAAAAAATTTCCAAAATATTCAGAGCAGTACGCACGTGAACACTGATCTACGTTTGGACAGTTTAAGGGTTAAGAGCAGCACTCCTGTTCTAGAGGGTTACTGGCACAATAACTTGTCCAAGATTATATATCTTGACAGATTCAGTCATCAGTGTTTCTCTCTCAAACAGGTGATACTATTTTTCTTTCCTGTCTTCCTTTTCTAAATACTATTGTTGTAATACACTTTATTTAAGCATATGCATTTTATTATTTTTTCATTTTTTTTTTGTATTAAATCACTCAAATCTTAGGTGATTCATTTAACAATACAGTACAGTCCCATTAACCTAGACCCATTTAAGCCATAAATTTGATATCATACAATGAACACTTTGAAGTGGGTAAACCATAATTTTCTTTTAGCCAAACTTATAATTTTTTTTTCTGCAAGATGAATCCAAAACACCATATTTTATTTGGGCAAAATTGGCATGTACCCTATCAGTTTTGTTTTACATTACTATACAGTATTTAAACTGTGTACAAACTGGCTGAGTGGTAAAAAAAACTATTACTTTTGACAAATTATAAAATTTAAAGAAAAAAATTGCTTGGCCTTATTCAAGGCATCAGAACCATAAACCAATTTTTGCCAAGAGTTCTGCTGTTCACATACTGATATTTCACGTAGGTGCCAGTTCACAGGAATGTAGCATGCAGGAAATGCAAGATTCTACAGCATTAGAGCTACATTTGTATTTCCAATATTTACTAAACAAACATAAACTCTCCACACATAAATAAAATGAACATACAGAAAGTATGAATGCATTTGGTGAAAAAATAGGAGTGCAAGCACTGTATCTCCTACTGCCAGGACTCGTGTCTGGCTAACTGGTTTCCCTGAATCCCTTCATGAATGTTACCCTGCTCACAATCCAGCAGCATGTCAAGTCACAAATATAACTTGTCTCTGCTCACACCAATCTTAAGTGCTCATGAAAACCTTCCTAGGATAACCCCAAACTCTTTCCCCTCACTCCTACTGGACAAACATAAAATAGCATGCTGCATGGTTTAATCTGATAGTAAAGAATGATGCAAAAGTAGAGTAGCATGGGAAGCACCAATGTGATTGTCCACCTTCCTCCCACTCAGCAAGAAGAGCATCAAGATGACTGTCTACATTCCTCCCACTCACCAACACGAGCATCAAGATGTCTGTCTACCTTCCTCCCACTCAGCAAGAAGAGCATCAGGGTGACTGTCTACCTTCCTCCTACTCAGCAAGAAGAGCATAAAGATGACTGTCTACCTTCCTCCCACTCAGCAAGATGAGCATCAAGGTGTCTGTCTACCTTCCTCCCACTCAGCAAGATGAGCATCAAGGTGTCTGTCTACCTTCCTCCCACTCAGCAAGAAGAGCATCAAGGTGAGTCTACTTTCCTCCCACTCGGCAAAAAAAAAACATCAAGATGGCTGTCTACCTTCCCCCCACTCAGCAAGAATAGCATCAAGATGACTGTCTACCTTTCTCCAACTCAGCAATAGGAGCATCAAGGTGACTGTCTACCTTCCTCCCAGCCAGTAAGAGAAGTGCCAATGTGACTGAGTGTTACAGTGAATTAAAGGGGTATGGGACAGATACAGGAGAGGTATGAGAATGGAATAGCGTAGAGAGGAGTGCGAAAGGTATGGGAATCTGTACCTTTGAATTTACTGACCCCAAATCTGAATGTGATCTCCATGTGCTACAAATATCAATAATACAAAATTATTAAGAAAAGCTGGATTAAGAAATTTAAAGTTATAGGATAGAAAGCAGGTTGTTAATGGACACTCATACACAATTCCATAAGCTTAAAGGTTAATTATATATTTTTTTCTTCTGAAATTAGATTTGAGTTAATTCTCACCTGGGTAGTGCAACTTTCAGAATTTTGGAGTGTGGCTCGGTGAGTTTCAGTGAGGAAAGTAATATCATCCTGGTGAAAATACTCATACATGCTTGATCCAAGAAGCTCTTGAGGTAACCAACCCAACAACAATGAGGCCCTGGAGGAAGTATTTTATTCATCAATATTATGAATAAAGAGTTGTGTGGATGATATGTATATAATATTCATGTACATAAATAGTATACAATAGAGAAACTAGAAGAGGTGAAGAAATGAGTACCATGGAAAACATGCACAAATATTTAGAAATTTTTTACACTATCTTTTGACAAATTCCATGTCAACAACTGAGTCCAAAACAAACACTGAAGGCATTCTAGCCAATACAGCAACTTTCCCCTCTGTTCATAAATCATGTCCCCAGGCCTTTCCTATACAACAAATATCCTCCATTTTGAATCCACCACACCAAAAAATAATCTATGTTTTTCTCTATTTCTCAGCTATTAAACCATGACAAAGAATGCTTAGTTATGGGTTAGGCCATCCCAATAATTACAGCAGACTTAGCAAAAGCCCAGATAACAGATCAAGGGAAGGGTAAAGGTAACCCCCACTCTTCCTTAGAAAAATCCCCAAAAACTGATTATTTCCACTATTTTGTGGTTTGTTTCAGGCCACTTCCAATCTTCTCCTTTTCCGAGCTATCAGTTGGCGCCAAGAAGCAGCCAATAAAACCACCCTAAAAAATGCCCGAAGTTGCTCTTTTAACCCAAATACAAAGTCAGAGGTAAGCTATTCCCATCAAGCACTGCATGGGCAGGATTTTTTAATTCCGTACACACCCACTATACAGACCCAATCTCTCATGTCTAGGCCAAAATTTGTTACTCAGCATATGTGAGGGTGCTATATTTATGCATAAATCTATGTAAGCACCACTGGCCACATTCATGCTAATCTATGTGAGTGACAGTCTAAGAGTGAAATGCTAGAGATAAGAGATATTACAAATAAAAATAAATCAAACAATATTATTTTAATATGAACTAAGTTTTGGGGAAACAAAAAGAAAGATGAGTGAAAAAAGAGATTCTGTGTGGGGGACGTCGAAATGTGGATTAGAAATACGAAAAAAAAATCTCAAAAAGATACTGAATGTAAATTCTAAAAAAATTTAAATGAAGGTTTTTTTTTGTTATAAAAAATAAATAAACTTATATAAAATAATAATAGGGAAAATGTTCAACCCATACTAATTAAAAAACAAGAAAAAGCATACAACACACACCCTTAACTACATATAGGGGAAAAACCCCCGATATCTACTGTATACTTAAAGAATCATTAAAAACAAGTGAATTAAAAAAAAAAAATTGTTGGGGATTTTTAATTTCAAAGAAATAGAGTGAAGGGCTAAGGGGCTAAATAAAAAAAAAATGCTCAACAAAATTTTTTTAATGTAAAAAGATATTATGTATCATTATCATAGCAAAGCCCACAATCAAGTGAGTGGGGGCGGGCAAAAAAAGCTTTATAACGAGTTAGTTTTTACTTTATTGCAAATTAATACTGAGGATAAAACACATGAGCACACCAGGGTTCCTTCAATTAAAAACCATACAAAATATGTCAAATATCTAAAATGCGCCTTTCTCATGAAAATGACACTGTACATTACAGGACTGTATAAAAAGAAATTATTTTTAAAAGTGCTACACTCGTTCAGTACCAGTTTTAATACGCCTCCCTCATTAGCATGTATTTTTTTCCCGATGCTTCGGACTCACAACAGGCTCTCTGACCATATTCATACCTAAATAATGTGTATTAGGGCTGTTTCCTTTTTTCTTTATTCAAATACAGTACACTATTTAAATAAACATTTAAAAAAAAACCAGAAATTTTTTTAAATGTTGCAAAGGTGACATTTAAAAAAAATATTGAAGATGGTTAACCAAAATCACTACCTTATAGTTGTGCCCTCTTTTCTTTTAATTTGTTTAACAAAGGGTTCAGGAAAAAGAACTCCATCAAATTTTAAATGAGGAGAACTGTACAAAAATGTTGTACAGTATTATCTATTACTGCACTAAGTTTTAAAGGTCACCCTACCAATCATTCATGAAACATAAGAAAGAGGGGGGGCTGTGGTGAGCCTACTGGCCCCTGCTGGTAGGTTAACTCATACCTACAATAAAAACACTAAAAAAATAAAAAACAACCCTTTCTCACCCAAGGCAGGAAACAAAGTGAAAAAAAATTTTGTTATCAATTTTTTCAGAATGACTTTCCAAAGAAAAAGATTCGTGCTCAATGACATTCTAATGAAGCACCACCCACGACACCCTTTTTTCCTGTAATTATACAAATGCTTGCAAAATATCTGAAAAAACTTTAACTTAGTACTATGTTTTGGCCTCCAAGGGGAAGTGGAACAGAATTCTTCCCCCCATAGCCCGGTGTTGTAAGAGGAGGCTAAAATGCCCGGAGCAGGGAGCTAAAGTAACCTTTCTCCCGTATAATTACTAAAAATTTAAAAGAGAACTTTCATTTTTCTTTTTGGGCCCCCCTGCCTTGGTGGGTACGGTGGGTTTTTTAAAAAAAAAAAAAAAAAAATTTTTTGGTACAGTATACAGTAACCATTATATTTTCATGGTAGTTCGTTCCTGAAATGCCATTTGGGAAATCTGTGTTAGATAAAATGAAAAATTTTGGGAAAAATACCGTTACGTTCCGGGATCCCAAAAAAACCAAACAGCTTTTTTTTTTGACCTCCAGATTTTAAAAATAAAAGTGAATATGTAATTGTAGTTCACTGTTGTGATGTATTATATTGTTTTTACTGCTTAAGACTACAAATGCAACAGAAATAATAATATTTCTTACCTTAAATTGTGGGAGCTAGTGCGCATCGATGATTGTGAAGAGAGTGGAGAGTTATGCTGTGGCCCTACTGGGCTGAGGTGGATGGTAGAGGTTCTGGTACTGAGGTCGATGGTTGTACTGGAGTGTGCATAAATTCTGTAATGGATTTCTGTTCTATTTTACCCTGCAGTACATTATACAGCTGACGGAAAGGCATCAGCTGCTCTAGACACCATTTCAGATCACTTCTGCTAGATTTGTCAAGGTTCCCTTCAGTGAAAAAGTCTAACTTTAAGTCTGTTAGTAAATCAGTCAAGTCAGTCAAGTAAGTCTGATAAGTATGTCAGTCAAATAAGTCAGTCAGTCAAGCAAGTCAGTCAGTTATTCATCACACAAACTCGTATATTTACTTCATTCTTTTTAATTGTACAAAGTGACACTTCATTAAGGCCATAGGATATCTGTTGTCTAATATCTCTATTTTCTTAGTTAATTCTAAGACTTAAACACCTTTTCTTGCCACTTGCTACTTTCAGCAACACTGGTATGCCTACTGGGTGCTATGACTGCTTGGCAGATACAAGTTATGGCAATTAAAAGATCAAAACACAATTCACAAACACAGCTAGTTCCTAAGAAATGGAACTGAACACTATTCACGAAGGCTGGGATGGTGGTGCCAGGAGTGTCGGGGGTGGCAGGGGATGGTTGTAGGTCTTCCCCCTTCCCCCTGCTGACTGCTGACCCACAACATTGTGGCAGCTTGAGCTGACAATAAAGCATCAGCTGCTCTAGACACCGTTTCAGAGCACTGCTTCAAGATTTGTCAGGGTCCTCTTCAGTGAAAAAGTCTGTCAGTCCGTCAGTAAATCAGTCAAGCCAGTCAGTCAAGTCAGTAAGTCAGTGAAATCAGTAAGTCAAGTCAGTCAAGTAGGTCAGTCAAGTCAGCCAAGTCAGTCAGTCAAATAAGTCAGTCAAATAAGTCAGTTAGTCAAGTCAGTCAGTCATCACATAAACTCGTATATTTACCTCATTCTTTTTAATTGTACAAAGTGACGCTTTGTTAAGGTCATAGGCTATCTCTTGTCTAATATCTCTATTTTCTTCATTAACCCTTTCAGAGTCCAAGGCCCAAATCTGGAGTCACGCACTAGTGTCCAAGAATTTAAAAAAAAAAAATTTGTTATTTTTTCTTATGAAATCGTAGAGAATCTTTTTGTGAAGGTAATAAAACAAAAAGTACGAAATTTGGTGGAAAATTGACGAAATTATGCTCTCGCGAATTTTGATGTGTCAGCGATATTTACGAATCGGCGATTTTGCCGACTTTGACTCCCATTTTAGGCCAAAATTTCATTATTCCAATCAACCAAATTCTTAGCTAAATTTCACTATGTATTACTTCTATTCTATCGATTGAGCACAAGAATCGCCAAGTCAACTGTTTCAACTACCAAATAAGTGATCGGAAATTGTTAATTTGGCCAATTTAACACAAAGTTCAAAATATTCCAATTTCAAAATTTGGGTCCAGAATAAACAATGTAAGGCATTCCTGGCACTAAACTAACATTTCCTCTGTTTCATTAGTTATGTTTTGGAGGCTTTACAAATAAATTCCATTTTGATTTTTTATTCACATAATGAATTTTTATTCCCCACCAAAAAATAGAAAATTTACTGTTATGCAATACTGTAATAATTGTATAAATATCATCACCATATTTGTGAAATGTATATCAGACCCACCAGCTGACGTGTATTAGATGTGTGAGGTCGTTTGTTTACTCTTGAATATCGGCAAAAATTTAACATTTCCGCTACTTTGAGCTCAGTTTCAAGCCATTTTTCCCGTGCTAAAACCCAAACAAAATCATCTCTATTTCTGTAATATGTCTTTCCATTCTATCAAATGAGACAAGAAATGCAAATACAACTATAAAAAACATACGAAAAAACACTGCAAAGTTGCTGTTTTAATCGAAAAATCATGATTTCAGTTTTTTTCTCTCATTATACACAGTGTGCTGCAGGATCTGTTTTATGTGGTGCACACATACCACATAGATGTATTCTCTCATATCTAGGCCCAAATGTACCACTCACAGTTTATCAGAGTGAGCTGAGCTCATGGCGTAGATCTACGGTTTGGACACTCACTGTAAAGCCGTAGATCTACGGGACGGACCCTGAAAGGGTTAATTCTAAGACTTAAACACTTATTCCTTTTCTTGCCACTTTCAGCAACACTTGTATGCCTACTGGGTGCTATGACTGCTTGGCGGATAC